GTGGTAGTCTCATGCATGATCACTCATCCCAGAATATGGACCTCATTGGATAAGTCAAATTACCTCTTCTGGCCAGTCAAGTACGAATTGTGAAACGGAGAAAAACTCAATTCTAACGAAAACGCAATTTTATGCAAATATCACTAACATCACGTCTCTTGCATGTGTGTACATTCACATGCCTTATGACGGCCTGCATTACATGAAACCAACAACTTTCCGCTCGTAACCGAAAATTTTGTGCATGGCCAATCAAAGTGCAGATTCAATCGGAAATAAGCAAAATTTGAAGTTTTTATGCAATATGACAGTTGTTATCGCAAAAAAGGATAATGTACGTCTTAATGAGTTGTTACAAGATGAACGGTGATTGTTACAAGATGAACGGTGAACATCTTTGAGTTGTATTACGACCACTACTCTGACTCATCATAATTATAAACATAATATTATACGGATTCCAACACACGTTTAATCAAACAACCGTCTCGGGCGAGAGGATGCGCTTGTCTACCATTATAACTCTAAATAAGTATGAATCTCATCAAACATCCTCATGACCGTATCGGCTGAGAGGATGGGCATGTCTGTGCTACTTAGGAATAACCAAAGCAAATATGTCCAACAAGGATCAATCATGACACCTTGCTCATCACAATTGTAAACAAGTATGAATCTCAACACACTTCCACATATCGGGCGAGTGAACGAGTATGCCTATCATTACACTAAGTCTTCTAAACAAATCTGAATCCCCTCAAACATCCAAACAACCGTCTCTCAACACACTTCCACATATTGGGCGAGTGGATGGACATTCCTATTACACACTAAGTGTTCTAAAGAAGTCCGGATCTCATCAAACATCCAAACAACCGTATCGGGTGAGAGGACGGGCATGTCTGCGCAACTTAGGGATAACCTCAAGAAATATATTCTCCAACAAGGATTGAATCCTCACATTCATAAAGTTTAACAAGTATGGATCTCAACACACTTCTGCATTTTTGAGGAGTGGATGGACATGCTTACGTTGCTTAGGCTGCAGCCAGAAATGAATTCATTAGAAAGAGGACATAATATAATGTCCTATTGTAACGAATAACATATTATAGTTTGTTTCTAGGTGAGTGTCATGATGCAACTGGGCACTTCGGCTATAGAAAAACATCAGCTTACCTAGTGCAGAGATTCTGGTGGCCGTTTATGACGCAAGATGCAAAGAAGTACGTTGAAACTTGCCAGATTTGCCAACGGGACAAACCTAGGACTCGAGCTCCGCTTGGGCTCATCAAGCCCCTGCCGATTCCGGAAGGTCCAGGTCAAAGTGTCTCCATGGACTTCATGGATACCCTGGTGACCAGCAAGAACGGAAAAAGACATATCTTCTTTATAGTCGACCGATTTCCAAGTATGCAAGACTAATCGCTATGCTAGAAACAACAAAAATTGACTATGTTATCAAGCTGTTTATGGATAACTGGGTGCGGGACTTTGGTTTCCCCAAGTCTATTGTCAGCGACAGGGATGTCCGCTTTACAAGTGAATTGGGGCAAAACACTTCCCGACAGATGGGTACCAGACTGTAAATGACATCAGGGAATCACCCTGAGTCAAATGGGCAGGCAGAACAGATGAACCGAGTAGTGCAGCACTTACTAAGGCATTACATCAAGCCAAGTCAGGATGACTGGGATGAGAAATTGCCTCTCGTCGCCAGCCTGTACAACAACGCTGTGCACAACACTACTGGCATGACTCCCAACCAACTGCATCTTGGTTGGAAGCCCAAATCCGCCCTTGATTTCCTACTGCCTGAGAACCAGTCAATTGAAGCACATTGCAGCATAGAATTTGGTGTCAAGTACGAACAGATGTTGCAACAGGCCGTTGAACATATTAGGAAGTCTCAAGATGTTATGATTGCATCTGAGAACAAACAGAGAGGCCTTCTAACTTTCAGGTAAGGGACAAAGTCTAGGTTAAGTCATTTGAACTGGGACAGGATATGGGAATCTCCAGAAAACTAATGCGCAGTATTTCGGTCCTTGGGAGGTCCTAGATATAGTCGGGGATCAGATAGATGGACCCTCCTATGTGATTCTCATCCCTGCTCACCTACCCACACACCCAATATTCCACGCCTCAAAGCTGGCACCTTTCGTAAAAACTGTACAGTTTCCCTCCAGACGATCAATGCTGCCCCCAACCATGGATGGTGAAGTCGACATTGACCGAATTGTGGAGCATCGGGTGATGCCAGTGCCTAAACCTCCTGGCAGAGGCCGTCGTCCAAATCCAAGGATGCAATATCGTGTCAGACACCAAATTGATCCCAGTGAAGATCGGTTGTTCACTAGAGAAGAACTCCAAAGAACAGTGCCCCAAGTGATTGCAGGCTACGAAAGAGAACTCAAGGGAAAGTTGCCTGCAGACTAAGAAACTTCTCAGAGGACTATCAAAGGAAAGGAGGAGGGAATGCGGGGATTTGACTCCTTCGCAGGCCTGAGGGGCCCCGTATGCAAGTGTGACCGCCCTAAGTGAAGGCAGGCCTAACAAATCATGAGAGGCCCAATGCTTTCAATTTCGTATGTGGGGTTCAGGCAGTTGTGTCGCATCAGTTGGTTGAAGGAACCCAGGCACGAGCAGCAAAGACTTTCCACGGCCTTCTAGGCCTTTTCCGAAATGCAGGCCCTGGGCAAGAATTGCAGCATCATACACAGACAGTTAGGAGGCACAACCGAACGAGGCCCAGCAGCTGCAATAGAGACCCAGCCTCCTGGGGCCTACCGGAAGCTTCTGGGCGCAGGCCCATCCCAGCCAGGCCGCAGGGCAGGCAGACTCTTTCCATATAGGAAAGAGCTCGCCGCCTGGACTGGCATTCGGACACTTGCAAGCTAGTGGCAGCGCTGCTGGAGCAGAGACTCTCGGGCTGCTGCTTGCGTTAAGGCAAGGTGCTGCACACGTGCGGTCGTGTAGGAAGATGCGTGCTGACGAGGCAGCGCCATAGCCCAGCCTCCCTAGCTGGCTGGGGCTTGGATGCACAGCAAGGCACAGTGGTGGTCTTTGGATGTACAGAGGGAAGGCGTGGATGAAAGTTGAGGGAAAAAAGAGAGAGAGAGAGAGAGAGAGAGAGAGAGAGAGAGAGAGAGAGAGAGAGAGAGAGAGAGAGAGAGAGAGAGAGAGAGAGANGAGAGAGAGAGAGAGAGAGAGAGAGAGAGAGGATGATGATGATGATGTGAGGGCACATACCTGGTATTGGCGATCGTCTGCATTTTGGGCAACATCTTCAAGTACTTCGCTGGCTGCTGACGTCAACAGTTGCATTGTCAATTCGTAGGCAGATAGAAGCTGTGTTGGGAGTAGTCTAGGCACCGGGCGCCAAGTAGGGGGAAGGGCCTGGACTCTAATGTTCGTGATGACGAGAGTAAGCTCTCATTGACATTCAGTTTCTGTGTTTCGATTCTCCATTGGTGTAAAATTGGTGCATTACTGCTTTCTGGACACTCTGAGACTTTCTGGCTTTCAATGTGATCGTGTAATCTGGATTTTGTCATCTCGCTATTGCTCATTTTCCTTACACTGGTCACCTTCAGCTCCAAATAGCCGGACTTTTTTTTTCCTTCTTTTTTCACTTTTTTTGAATTTTTCTTCTTTTTTTGTTCCAATAAAAATTGCATGTTGACTGGACGACTCCCAGTCTTCTGTTTGTCAAATACAAGCTTAGTGTTCTGTTTCTGTATCTCCCTCCCCCCCCCTGCTTCAAAATAGCAGATTAGTTCAGTGATATTCTTTTATTTTTCAATAACAAGAAAGGGGCGGCCGTCAGGGCTTTACTTAATAGAAAATCACTGAGGCCGGGGAACCCTCAACCTGCAGGAAAATCTTAACAGAAAATCACAGAGGCCGGGGAACCCCCAACCTGGAGGAAAATGCTGGGACCAAATGGGACCGCTGCCTTGACATGCCTCAACCCTGGGAGGAAAAGTTAATCCAAAAAGGCCATAAAAGCCGCAAAAGCCCAAAGATTTGTAAATTTCCATTCTGTTTGACAGTAATTCCTTCCCCCCCAAAGTAGCTGTTTTTCTTTTTTGTTTTTTGCTTTTTTGTTCATTTTTTTTCTTCCTCCTCTTCTCTTGCGACTCTATTTATGTGTCATCCTTGATGGCACAGGGCCATGCTAATTTTCTGTTCATTGTTTCAATTTTAACAGACGTCCCTAAGTACCAAATAGCGGGCTAGTTCCATTACTCCCAGTTCCTTGTTTGTCAAATAGCAGAGCTGATGAGCACAAAATCAATTTGGATATTTTCAGAGGTTTTAATATACTGTGACACTACGGATAAAAAGTATTAAGAATTTAAGAATGATAGGACCCTATTACGCAGCGAATTTTGTTTTTGTTTATACGTCCTGCTGAATTATTATCGGAACGAGACGTCCTTCCATCACCATTGCTTTTCCACGCTGACAATTGTAACATCTTCTTTCCATTAACATGTTTTTTTTCCACACACACACACACACACACACACACACACACACAGAGAGAGAGAGAGAGAGAGAGAGAGAGAGAGAGAGAGAGAGAGAGAGAGAGAGAGAGNAGAGAGAGAGAGAGAGAGAGAGAGAGAGAGAGAGAGAGAGAGAGAGAGAGAGAGAGAGAGAGAGAGAGAGAAGGCAACATAGTTTTCTCATCGCTAATCAGACAGTAAGCACTCGACAATCCATGGAACATTGACCTGCCAGAAACCATGTTGTATAGTTTTGGAAGTTTTGAATGCAAGTTCCAGTTGCATATCTGAACGCTCTGACTATCCAAGAGTTGCTGCCTTCGTCCGGGGCATCTGCTGCACTTGGAAGTTGGAGCAATACGGAGTAGCACAGCCCTTGGGCAGAAGGATGACACTCATAAATTTTGCGAAGCCAAGAAAATAACAGCTCATTGCCTTACAAAAAGACGGTGGTGCAAAGCAGCCAGAACAATTTTTCTGTGATCCATAACTAAAGTACAAGCTTCATTTTGTGATCAGAGTCCTCAGTACCTGCCCCTGGTGTACTACATCGTTGCCTTGTGACACTGGTCAGAATTAATTGCTGCTCGAGCCATCTGACTATTTCGACCCCATATTTTATAATCGAGTGAGAGTGAGAAGACCGTTACAGAGGCTGGTAAGAAATAAAAATCCGAAATTTTCATTTGAAATTTTCAACCCATCATGCTCAAGCAAGCTGGAAACAAGAACCTGGCTTACCGCATCAGATCAGATTGCCATTTTTATTTGTGCTCATCAATCTCAACGGTCATCAAGCTGTGATTTGAAACAGCAGGAAGGGAAACATATGAGAGGCTTTCTGTGTGTGGCTATGCTACATAGGACTTAAGGCCCTGGGGTTCTGGAAAAGATCATACCACCACACATGCCTGTACTTGTGCTAACTTTTCTTTACCCTGTTCCCCTCTATAATCGCTTACAAGTAAGTTCTCGACACGACAGACACTTCATTTTGTTGCTTGCTCGATGGCCACGTCTCACCAATGAAGGTAACTACGCCATCAGCAACATCAAGCTCGCAGTTTGACTTCAACTGATGCACTTCAGGCTGAACTCCTCTGCCTGTGCCGTGCTGCCCGTGCACACTCCCACCATGATGTGGCTGATTGACCATGTGGCTGCAGATTTTTTCTATCCGTCCTCTGCAGTCTGTGCAAGGTCAACCTTCCTTGCAACTCCCTCAAGTATTGCCAGAATGCCTAGATCTGGTTCCATCATGTTTGGTCGTCTGCGTCTGTTGAAACTAGCGCATCGCAACCCCAACTTTGCGACTTCCTGAGCCAGGTGAACATCCCAACAGCCTGCGTTGAGGTCCAGAGCGTTCTTGAAAGCTGCGTCATCCTCAATTGCGTCTTCAATAATTTCAAATGCATTCGAGAGATTTCCAGTCAGCATCCCCAGGATAGTGACGCCAAATGCATAGATGTCCATCTTCTCAGTGACACTAAGAAATCGTTGATGCAAATACTCTGGCGCAATGTAGTGGGAGTCGTCTTCTGTGGATAGAAGCAAGGGAGTCCCCCTCTTCCCAACCTCTCCAGCAGAGTCTGTGTCAAGAATCGCCTCGTCCACACCGCAGATCTTTGCCACAAAGATGTCAGACAGCAAAATGTTGGATGGCTTGATCGCCCGATGTATGATGGGACCACCCGATGCAGATGGAACTGAGTGCAGGAAGCAGAGTGCCCGGGCAACCTCAGCCATTACGCGAAAGCGGGCATACCACGGCAGGAAACCTCTTGCTGAATTTTCTTCATCATGATGTGAGATCCAGTCCTTTAAGCTCCCGCGCTCCATGTGCTCGTAGACGAGGCACCTCCCTTCGTAACAGACTCCTAACAAGGTGAGAAGATGGGGATGGCGGAGTGTTCTCACCCTGTCCACAAGCTCTGTCTCCAGCTGTGCCTGTGGATCTCTGACCTTTCTCACTGTAACAAGACTACCATCTCGTAGTGTCCCAAGGTAAGTATTTTCAAACTGTTCCCCGCCTCCTAATTTCCGCTTCACGTCAAAATTATCAGTTGCATCTTGGAGCTCTTTGAAGGAGTACTCCTTTAACAGATGAGCGTCAGAGGTGCAAACATTAGACGCGAGTGTTGGAGATGCGGCCTCCGCCCTTTGACGTTTGGCTACCTCTTCTGCTAATTTGTTTTCTAGCTCGCAGATCCTTTCAGCTAAATGTGCTCTGCATTCTTCTTCTGCCTTGCGCCCACTGATCTCACCATCCAGTGTCCTCTCTACCTCTTGAATCCTCAGTTTGGACATTTCAAATCTCTCTGTCATTGTTTGCATCTGTTTCTCCAGCTGCTGGAGCCTTTGCGCTTGTCTCTGCACCTCCTGAATCTTCAGTGTGGACTGCTCAATTATTCCTCTCATTGTTTTCGTCTCTTCCTCCATCCGTTGCACTCCCTCTGCTTGTCTCTCCACCTCCTCAATCCTCTGTTTGGACTCTCCAAATGTCTTTTGCATTCTTTGCATCTCTTTCTCCAGTTCTTGCACTCTCTCGGCTTGGATTCTCTCCTTTATCCGATGCTGTACCATCACTGCCTCAACTGCTTTTCTGCTGTTCTGCTCAACCATTCCTATCACTTCCTTAATTTTCTCTTCAAGCTGCAGCTTGACATTGACTAACGCCTTGACAGTGTGTTCAATCTCTTCCGTTGCCTTTCTTGATACCGCTGTTGGTTCATTGACCAGAACAGCCATAATTGATGAAGAAGATGCTTGAACGGGTTTTGCACAAGGAGACTCCTGTTGCTTTTGCCCTTCCTCTTTCTTGTCTTCCTTTCCTGTTTCAACCTCCACGACATGGAATTCACCTTCACCCGCAAGAATGAGCTTATTAGAAAATTTACTTGGGATCATGTTGAGGAGCCCATACGCATCCAATTTGCAGGCAAAGGAGGACAATTGCCGGTAGCTTGACTCACTCCAAACTCTAATCTCTCCATCCCTTGATGCAGTAAATATATACGGCAACTGCGGATGGAAGAAAGACGCCATGATACGTATCTCGTGTGCTTTCCATCGTGCTATGCAACTGCCCCTCTTGTAGTCCCACACCCGTACATACTGGTCTTCCCAGTGGGAAGTGATCAGAAGTGATCTCTCACCTCCACGACGGAAGCCCATGCTCCAGACTCTCCCTTGACCATCATCATTCAGGGTTTGAATAATAGACCTTTCCTCCAAATTCCACACTTTAATGGTGTTATCCAGTGAGGCACTTGCAAAGATCTGTGCCTCAGTCGGATGAAACACCAATGCACTTATATTTTTGTTATGACCTTCAAACTTTGTCTTCTCCCATTTGCCCCTCCAGTCCCACAGAAAAAGGTCCTTGTGATAGAAACCTGCCAAAAGGCAAGGGAGGCTCTGATGGACAACCATTTTCCGTGTGGAGATGTCACCCGTTTCTGTTTGCAGTCGCGTTAGAAGCCGCAAGTTTGAGCCTTGGCATTCATACACTTCATATATTTTGTCGCGCCTTGCCACAATCCAATTCTCTCTCTGCGGAACGAATCCAGCTTCACGAACATCATCCACACCAGTGACTACCCAGGAGGCAACCAGTTTCCCATCTTCGTAGTTCCACACCTGAAGGGATTTCCCAGCAGGTGTGAATATGAGCCATGGCTCACAAGGATGCAAATTGATTAACAGCCACCAATTACAACCAGCTGGCAAAATGTCTTTTCCCTTTCTCCCGAACTTGGGCACCATTTGAACCTCCCCTTCTCCATGACCATCACCCATGGTTCTTGTTTTGCACTCCTCTCCCCCCGCCGACCTCGATGCTGCTCTATTCCTACCTTGTTTTGCACTCCTCTCCTCGATGCTTTGCTTCTACTTTTCCAAAAGCGCCAATTTCTACTCATAGCTTTACAACTAGGAACTTGAAAATTCCACTCATAGACTCTATAGCAACAGGGGGTCGTCAGAAAGCATAATAGACCTCAGCAGTTTTGAAATGCGTTAGCGTTGTTCGGCCGCTTAATTTTTCTGAGCAGATGGTTGAATAAATTCTTCCCAGGGTCGGGACAAAGTTTCATTTCACTCATAACTTCCGCTCCCATGATCTAAGTTCCACCGAAGAAGAAAAAAAGAGAAAAAAGAAACCAAGGTCACCGTGGTGGAGATGGCCATTGGCCACCCCGAAGAAGTGCCCTATTGTGAGTGCATTGACTGTTGAATTGTTTTCCACTACGAGCAGTCACTGTGGCTGTGCTCTGAGTACTAGAATGGGAAAGCAAAATGATCATTCAATTAGGCAATGAGAGACGGAAACAGAGAAGTCCGAAGGAATCTAGTTTCCTAAAGCACACACTCTCCCCATGTAAATACTGTAAAGAAGTTCATTGTACGGCCAATACGAGCTCTCTCTCCATGTCACTCACATACTCACACCGAGTCACAGGCTCACACCCTCACACAGAGGGATAAACCCACACTACCTACATCAAGGCCATTTTCTCTCCACAGGTAGAAGTCGTGGAGCTCCCATCAGTGCCATCACGTCCTGCAATACAGAAAGCCGACCAGAAGCAGATTTAGGGTCGCCTTTTTTTTGGGCTCCATTTCGGGAACTGCTAATTTGCTTAAGTTGCGTATGCTGAATGACATTGGGTGTGACTCCAGCCGCGAGTCCAGCGTACTTGCCTCCAAAAAAACAAGGAAGGAAAATAGTAGATGCAAAGCTTAAGATCTTGTCTGACACTTACCATCTCTCTCCTCCCCCACACTCATGAATTCCACACTTTCCTGTTCCGGCCCTCGCCGCACCCATCACCGAATGTGAGTAAAAATGAAAAAGAAATGGCCAGTGAATCTTTCCACCTTCATGCTCTAACTGTTCACATGATCGTGCACAGACTGCTCATGACATTGTGTGTTTCAATCAAAATTCCTGATCGCTCACTGTTGATGACTGTTGATGAAAAAAAAAAAAAAAAAATCACTCACATGAGATGAGATGAGATGAGATGAGATGTTACTTGTGGTGGTCGATCATTTCACTCAGATAATAACGATAATGGCCAGCGCCGGTGTTTTTCATGTTCCCCATTCCCTTCGCCCCCCCCCCCAAAAAAAAAACAAAAAAAAAAAGTTTAATAGAGCTTCACAGGACCTATGCACTCAAGAAAGACAGAATTCGTCCCATCATTAATCAGAACGATGCAGAAAAAAGCGAAGACTCAATAGCATGTGATCTGTGCACGGCTGTTGACACTCGTAAAAAGAGAAGAAATCGTTCAAATCAAAAGGGGGAAAAAAAAAAAAAACGCATCTGCCATTCCTCTCCCAGGTCTTGCACTCGTGTCACTGCCATCCTCCCCCACATCTATCGTACCGTCATCATCATCATCGCTGTATCTAGACTTGTAGTTGCCCCAAGTACACAAACAACAATGACCGCACGTGTGACAAGTGACACCCTGTTCCTGTGAGCAACAAGCAGAACTCCACCATGGCGGGATCTGGAATAGCAGCAGACTATTCCTTTTTTTTTTTTTTYTTTTTTTTTCACAAAAAGCCCCTTCTATTCTGGGGGGCATCAGTCCGGTCGATTGCCACCGGCAAGCATGATTTTGAGCAAGAGAAAGATTTGCAAAAAAGTGGACAGCCATACCCTTGCGGTCCTAGTCGCCTATCAAGGGGGGGGCTCCTACTGTCTATTTTTTTTTTTTTTTTTTTTAAACATCTTGGTAGCATGCCTGAAATTTCGAGGATGAGGAGCATCACCCAGGTTGAGCTCCCGCACAATTGACAACTCCAATCTAGTGTATAGTTTGGAACAGAAAGTGACGTCCATCCCCACAACAACCGGTAAGTCGCTACGATTCTCTTCATCGGTGAAACCTCTCTCTCTCTCTCTCTCTCTCTCTCTCTCTCTCTCTCTCTCTCTCTCTCTCTCTCTCTCTCTCTCTCTCTCTCTCTCTTGCTGTATGTGTGTGTGTGTCTGAAAACCACAAACGCGGACACAGATTCACACCACCACGTTTTCAGCGATCTAGGGGCGGTTGTTTGGCATCGCCATTACCAGCAGATCAGAGGGTTTCGGGAGACCTAGGGTTAGGGGGTTAGAGTTTAGGGTTTAGGGTTTAGGGTTTAGGGGGTAGGGGTTACGAGGTTAGGGGCTTAGGGTTTAGGGGTTAGGGTTTAGGGTTGGTCTCAGGGCATACTCAAGCTAGAACTTCTTCATCGATTTCTGGAGGTAATTGCGGTCCGATTCTTCTGTTCCGGCCGCGATTTCCACTCAGATACACGCCCTCGCTGCACGACTCGCCAGACATCCAAAATGAGACTGTATCTTCCGCTAAAACGGGGAAAGATATGCTCACAATTGGTGAGTGGCGCAGCCGCCGCGGCAAGTTTGATAGTCTCCTCTCCAGAATACCAGCTCTTAAGTCAAACCTGAAGCGTCGGCTTTCTCCCGCTTATTCTTTGATTGTGACTTCCACGTAGTTTCCCCTTGTTTTTGGGGTAATTTCATTAGAGCCACAAAAACGAGTTACAATTGCACTACGGGGCAAGATACAGTTTGCAAGTGCACTTCGCTCACTGTACCTGGCCAGAAAGCTGGGTTGTGTTCATTGCCCAAACTGCAGCTAGAAACTGTATCTTGGCCCATAGTGCAATTACAACTCATTTTTTGTGACTCCCGAGTACTTTCCCCTTTTTGGGGGTAACTTCAGTAGGGGTAGCGTTCTATCCTTCTCCCGTTTCCTTCTATCTATTTTCAGGGCCAAGTGGCAGACTGGCAGTACTCCACCTTTTTTCTTTTCTTTTCTTTTCTTTTTTTTTTTTTTTTTTTTTTTTAACATCTCTCGGAGCAGGGAATTCTGCGACCAGGGTGGTAGGAGCCCCTGGTGATAGAAGCCTGCAAGAGGTCGATGGTGCCCATCTAATCGTGGGGAGTCGCACCTGCTGGAAATCAGGTCCAGCACCCTCATAGTAGTTACAGATATTCCTCTGGAACGAAAGTTCAAGGCTGTTCATGCAGCCCGCCTTGCCAGACCACACAGATTTCTTCACCTATTAGGGCGCCAAATACTTACTTCTACGCTAGCCTGTGACAAGCCAGGGTCCGTACTCAGTGGCTTTCCGTACCCTTCGGGGGGAAAATCCAAAGTAAGCTTCTAAGTACGGATACTGGCTGATTTAGAGAAGAGGGGTCTATTTTTCCAGAGTGGGGGACGGAAAAGAAACTTGCATCTTTCAGAACTGCCCATGCTGATTTTTCCGCACGGACGGTTAGCGACCTTGCTGAGAAATCCAAGAAACGGTTAGGAATTAGTGTCGTTGGAATTTTTTAGTTTCTTTCTACGCTAGCCTGTGACAAGCCAGGATCCGTACTCAGCGGCTTTCCGTACCCTTCGGGGGGAAAATCGAAAGTATGCCTCTAAGTACGGATTCTGGTTGATTTAGAGAAGAGGGGTCTATTTTCCTAGAGTGGGGGACGGAAAAGAAACTTGCATCTTTCAGAACTGCCCGTGTCGATTTTTCCGCGCGGGCGGTGAGGGACCGCGCCGAGAAATCCAAGAATGGTTAGGAATTAGTGTGGTCGGAATTTTTTAATTTCTTACACAAGAACGTGTGCACGGCTGTTTGTCAAATTTCTTGCACGTCACGTAAACCCCCTCCCTGCTTTGCATCTACGCGCCATCTTCCCTTCTTGCTGCACGCTCCTTCATGAGTGCCTCTTCCTCTTCCCCCAACGACGTCCGATCCTTCCCTTACCCATCATCGCGATCGATTGGCTGTCTAGTTGGGATGGTCGGATCAATGCGGTGAAAGCGGAACATGCGCATCACCTGAACGACCACCTCAATTACGCAGAACTTTCGACCTGCGTCTTTGGGTCCTCCTAGAATCCCTGCTTTTCACCGGTCCTGCTCATCTACACCCCTTGCTACCTGCACCTCGTGCTGGCACCCCGCCCCCTTCTGCGCTATAAATTCTCGCAGTCCCCTCCTCTCCTCCTCTTTGATCGCGCCTGCAATACTGCTCGAGCTATGCGCGAAGTCTGCATCGTCAAACAGGCTTGACGTGCCCAGTGACGGTCGGAGTGATGACGTGGGGTGGAACTAGCGGTAGACTTGGGGTAAGACAATCGGGGTGACGAAGCGGTGGTGGAGATCGAACGTCGCCAGCGGCAGGGCCTTGTGGCTATGGTTGGTTGATGTTCGGACTGATTGAGGGCTGCGCCTGAGGGAGGCCAGCCGTGTGTGAGTTTTGAATAGCGAGGGACTCACTTTTATCTCCATCGCTGCTTTGTCCAAGTGTGATGTGTGCAGTGTCCCGAGGGGGTACTAAGTTGTGTGCATGCTGATTGGTACGAGAGTCTGTGGATGCTGCATGTTTCACTGTCCAAGATAGATGAATGTGTAGATGTGTGGATGCTCACGGGTGCAGCTCTGGGGAACACGGGCTGTCCACCGTCTGCATGAATGCACGAGTGTGTTGGATTTCCCTCCCTTCCTCGACGCTTGACGATCCCGGCGTCGCGTGTATGCATGGGGATCGTCTCCCCTCGCGGTAACAGGTGATCCGGGTCAACTGGGCTAGTGTTTCTCCACGACTTGCATCCGACCACCAAGGATACCAGTCGCACGCGTCTCCATGACGCGGCTGACATCTCCGCGACTCGGTCCTAGTCACATTTGTCCTGACCACTAATTGGTGATCACGACGCTGTATCCCTGAGCCTGCATTCCGGCTGAAACGGAGAGGGTGATGCGAGTTCCATTGACCTTTGTATGGAGTCGGCGTTTGCCTCGACGAACGCGGGCACGGGCAATTGTCTGTGCTCAACCCTTTTGTCGGTTCGTTGCAGCGTGCTACCATCCTTCCCGATCGCAGCCGACGACAACGTGTACTGCGATGCGGACGTACGGAAGACCCCACGACGAACCGAGCAGGTTCATCTGTATAACCCAGCTAGGGCCTGCCACGTAGAGGGGAGCAGGTTTGTTATAATTGATCGGTTCTCCTCCCCTCCCCTGATCCTGCCGTACACCGATCTGACGGTGTTACCCTGGTCTGCGGGCCATGCCACATGGCGGCCTCCGTTTAAGTGTCGCTGGTGTCGGCAGGGAGATTTGTGTTCCTAGCGAAGACAAGTCCTGGGATATGAAGGTGCGGCTCGGTTCCCAGAACTCTCCCGCAACGTGGGCACAATCCTGGTTAACTTTCGGATCTGGGTTCCCCTAGCCCAGCCCACACCAAACGCCGCCACACCGGGACGCCCGCGGGGACTCGATGAATCTGACGCAGAGGCCTGAAAGCTCCATGTCCCTGGGCTTCCGTCTCTGAATTGGCGTGAACTTAGCGCGAAAGGAGCGGTGAAGTCCGCTCTTCCTTTTTCTTTTCCCTTCCTTTTGATTTTATGGCTGGACGAGTAGCGCGCCGCTATCATCCTCCTCGGACGAGCGTAAGTTTTTGAACCCAAACAGAGCGTGTCGTTTCGGAATAACCCCTCTCATTCCCTGGTATATCTCTTTTTGCCCTTGACGACGG